TCATAGAATCGGACGCAGCCCATGCTGCTGCTATTATTTTTTACCTAACACAAATTGCATGTCAAGATGTCTGCAAAATACTGTATTTCTAAAAAGTTAATATGGAGCTTACACTGTATATGCATAAAAAAAAAAAAAAAAAAAAGTTACTTGAAACTCCTGCCAAGAAAAGGTAGAGTACAGCAGTTTCATCCACAACGAAGGATTGGGTATCCACGTAACACGGATAAAATTCAGGCCCCTGTGCAGAAAGGCTGGATGGCATGAGGAAGACAGTATCTTTCTAACAATGGTCTCTCTCTTTCGGTGGGGGTCCGTGATTCTTAGTGGACGGTGAAGGTTCCATCATGTTTGCAGCATGTGTTCCGCTGCGGCCAAGTGGAAAAGGAAGTGTTCTGTAGCCGGAGGTAATCTCTTCTGTTTGAGCAGGTCGAGGTTAATGGTGGGTTTGTCTCGGTCACTGGAACCATCAGAAAAGGAGTTTAAAATGGTAAGGATCTCCCTGCTCTTCCCACAAATATCCTAAGTAAACACAGAACAGAAGATTCAGGGTGGTGGTAAACAAATGAATGAAACTGCCAACACAAAACTTGCTTCATATTACAGCAGATCAGACTTTTTTTTTAGCAGTAAACTAAAAAAATTAGGAGACCTTTTTAAGATTTAAAACGTGCTATTTTTTCTGCTTATAATAAGTTACAATTATTTATATAGCTCCAACATACTCTGTAGCGCTGTCTACACTTGTTTTGGATGATAGTGACTTTCCCTGTCCTTCTAAACGGATGGAGGTTGTGAATGGCATCTTACATGTTCAGTTAAAAAGTCTCAAGTGAAATGTTTATCCTATCGTTCCCCTAATAAGAGGAACATGTGACATTGTGAGCCCCGATTGTGCTCCAGCGCCACACCCTGTACGGAATATACTTGGTACGGCATAACAGCCTCTCCTTGAGTATAGGAAACAACAATTACAGGGTGCGCCAAGAACAAAGTAAATAAATAAAATGTATAATAGGAAAAAAAATAAAAAAAATACCAGGGAAACAGGCAAATTAAAGTCTCTAATTCACAGGTATATTCTAATAAGGATAAATATAAAAGTATTTAAAATAGTCAGAAAAAAATGAAATTTAGATTAAAACACAATGCATTTCGCCACAAAAGGCTTCTTCAAGTGTACATCTTTTGTGGCGAAACGCATTGTGTTTTAATCTAAATAAAAGTATTTTTTCTGATTATTTTAAATACTTTTATATTTATCCTTATTTTTTTACCTGGCATATCCTAAACATTTGAAGCTTTTATACCATCCAAAGAATCCATGGTGGGGATCGTACCACCCAGGCGCTTTACACAGAGCGGTTTGTCTGCTCTGTAAATTGTAAGTACATCTCTTATTTTATCCAGCACTTTTTTAATATAGAGAGAGCACTATGGGCCTTCTCCTGTGTTTTTATTTCATATAACCTGCACTGAAAATCTCGTGAGAGGAATATCCTACATGTGGGGAGTTTAAATACCACTGTATGCTGTTTTGCTCGAGCTAGTTATAGCTCCCGCAAATGTGAGTTGGCATTTCCATTGGTCCCCTCTGTGTTTTTTTTTTTCTCTTTCATATATGCTGATGAGAACTTGACCCAAGACATCCTGATAATTTAAGAAGAATATACCTGTGAATTAGAGACTTTAGTTTGCCTGTTTCCCTGGTATTTTTTTGATTTTTTTTCCTATTATCCATTTTATTTATTTACTTTGTTTTTGGCGCACCCTGTAATTGTTGTTTCCTGTTTTTCCAGTCCTTTGAAGAGTTTTGAGGGTTACCCTTCCTTTCAGGTGGGCAGCCTCCCCCTCCCTGTTGTGATCAGTTTGGATAGCGCTGTTCCATCCCTCTTATTTTTCTCCTCGAGTATACTTTGTAGTTGGATATTGCTTACGCGATGAAGAATGTCCACTCAGGAGGTTTCTACCAACATGTTCCTTTTTCTAACAATAGCCAAACATGAGCAAAATCTGACTGGTCAGCTCAGCCCAAAATGGCTGCTACTTGCCTGCATGGCGATATTGCAATCTCAGGCAGGGATGTATTTTGCGCGAGGCAAACAAGGCATTTGCTTAGGGCGGCAAAAAAACGCCGCCCTAAGTGCTCAGTCAAGTGCCTTGTTTGCCTCATGTCTTGGGGAGGCTAAGAGGTTGCCAGCCGGCCACCCTTGGATCCTCCCAAGGCATTTAGCTGGCTCAAAGTTTAGACAGGGGGCGAGGGAGCGCAGTACTCTGAGCACTTCCTGCTCCCTTGCGCGCCCTTGTATGATGCCAGGAGCCGGAATAGGACATCACTCCGGCCCCGGCGGTGTGCGAGGGAGCATAAATTGCAGCAGAACCTACAATTCGTATTAAAATGTATAACTCTCTGAATATACGGTCTATTTAAACGAATGGACGTTCGGTAGATAGCTGGGGTCTGAGCGCATCATTCGTGAGATTACCGCTCAGATCCCAGCTAAAACAACTGAACGCCGCACGAAGAACACATTCATTAAAACATATCTTTAAAAGAACGATTGCATGTAAGGGAACAGAATACCGAACGGCCCGGACCTCCCGAACAGCCTGGAAGCTCAGCGGTGTTCGTGCCGTTGAATAGCCGTTTTTAGTACCATGCGCTCGACGACAACACCGCTGAGGGAACAAAGGATCCAAGATGGCCGACAGCCGCATGGTCGGTAGTCGAACGATGGCCACCTTGGAGAGCCTCTAATTACCGATTGCAACATTGTTGCAATCGGTTAATAGGCGCCACACGTCTAAGTGTGTGGGCTATTAAATGATGGTTTGTTCGGTTCACGAACGGCCCGCAAAGGTGCCGTTCGTGAAACGAAAGTGTGGCAAGCCCTGCCACTTGGACTAATCATTGATGTGAATAAGTGTAATTCACCAAGGGAATTACCACACGAATTGACTGTAATAGTATTGTAATGTTTTTATTCGAATGTATGAAACTACCGAACGGAAGACGGGGTGGTCGTGTGTTTCCCATTAAAAGAGTGATACATTGTTGCGAAGGGAATTAAGTACCTGTATGGGTGGCCGCCATTTCGCCTACCGAACACGTGGCGGCGGCCATCTTACGCACGAACAGCGGTACTTAGTTGTCGAACGCCTGGAACTCAAACCGGGCATTCGACTAACCAAGCACCGCTAAGACCTCCAGCGTGCTCAGACAATACGAAGCTAACACACGAACGCCCTGGCGTTCGGTAGATAGATTCCCCTAAAGTAGGGGAATCATACAAATGGTAGCAATCGTATGGATGGCTAACCGTTCGGTATTTGTGGTTCACTGTAATAGACCGACCGCAGGCAAGCGACGGGATTCAAACCTCACAGTAGACCGTTGTTCGGCAGTTACAGCCATTCGTGGAAATTTTGTATTCGTATGGAACCGAAAGGAAAGGGTATGTGAATATACCCGAACGGATAGTGAATGGGGACAGATTATACCAGCTTGAAACGGGCCACGCTAAAAGAGCTATTGGAAGCAAGGGGAATTATTGCCAGCAATAAAGCCAAAGCTACCCTTATTGCTGAACTCATGGAGGGAGACCGGGCAGCTGCTGCAGCACCTCTTATGGACAACACACAGAATGAGTTTGGAAGAGAACTCCAAAGCAGACTGGCCTTTTTCCCAGATACACCTCCCATAGACACCTTGGAAAGGATTATGGCAGATGTTCACCAATACATCATGGCAAAGCAGCAGGCAGACCGGAGGTCCAGAGAGGGGTCCCCAACCCCACCACGCATAGTACAAGGAAAGCCTAAAATTCCGTACCATGCTTTTAAAAGTTATGTGGAAACCGAGGACATTGATGGCTACCTGCATGACTTTGAGAAGTTATGCCAGCTACATGAGATTGACGCTGCTGACCAGGTACCCCTGCTGGTAGGCAAGCTAGCAGGCCGGGCAGCAGAAGCCTACCGCACCATGACAGATGAGGACAGCAAGGATTACCAGAAAGTAAGGCAGGCGATCCTGACCAGGTATGCCATCACCCCAGAGGCGTACCGACAGCGGTTCAGAGAAAGCCGAAAGACGGAGAGAGACACCCACATGGAGTGGGCACACCGCTTAACTAGGGCGGGCAAAGGATGGGTACAAGCAGCGCAAGCAACCACAGTGGAGGATATGCTCCAATTACTGCTGCTAGAGCAATTCTTCCAGGGATTAACCCCGGATTTACAAAACTGGCTGCGAGACCGGAAACCACGCACCTTAACCGATGCAGCCAGGTTGGCAGACGAATACCAAGATGCCAGAAGGGCACAGCGGGCACAGTCACGGCCCACCTCGGGCGCTGCTACCACACCTCCCACTGTTATCCCCACCCCATCACTGCGTCCGGGTGGTGGGTACTACCAAACCCCTCCCCGGTACAACAATGCCCGATCGTTCATCAGGAGCCACACGTGTAACCAGCAGGGCCACATGCAGAGAGACTGTCCCAGGAACAAAAACCGCCCCACGTGGAATACCCCAACCAATTCCCCTGCAAACCGGGCAGAGGTACACTGCTACCAGAGTGAGCCCCGACAACCTCACCTCTGGGCCGGGCCCAATGAAGAACCTTTGGGCACCCTCCATGAGGTCAACCCAATACAAGCGGCTGCAGACAACCGGCAGGGACACCGCCAAGGGGTGCACGTAGAGGGAAAGCGCCTCCAGGGTCTGCGCGACTCTGGGGCCACCATAACTCTGGTGCGCAATCACCTAGTTCCCAAGAACCAGCTCACTGGAGAATATGTGGCAGTTCGGGTGGCAGGGGGAGCTATTTACAAAATTCCTACTGCAAGGTACATTTGGATTGGGGAGCGGGGTCAGGGAATGTGGAAGTGGGCCTCA